TTCCTATTTTCGTGGATACCTATTTTCGTGGATACCTATATTCGTGGTTTCCTATTTTCGTGGTTTCCTATTTTCGTGGATACCTATTTTCGTGGTTACCTATTTTCGTGGTTACCTATTTTCGTGGATACCTATTTTCGTGGTTTCCTATTTTCGTGGATACCTATTTTCGTGGATACCTATTTTCGTGGTTTCCTATTTTCGTGGTTACCTATTTTCGTGATTACCTATTTTCGTGGTTTCCTATTTTCGTGGATACCTATTTTCGTGATTACCTATTTTCGTGATTACCTATTTTCGTGATTACCTATTTTCGTGATTACCTATTTTCGTGGTTTCCTATTTTCGTGGATACCTATTTTCGTGGATACCTATTTTCGTGGTTTCCTATTTTCGTGGATACCTATTTTCGTGGTTTCCTATTTTCGTGATTACCTATTTTCGTGGTTTCCTATTTTCGTGGTTACCTATTTTCGTGGTTTCCTATTTTCGTGGATACCTATTTTCGTGGTTACCTATTTTCGTGGATACCTATTTTCGTGGATACCTATTTTCGTGGATACCTATTTTCGTGGATACCTATTTTCGTGGTTTCCTATTTTCGTGGTTTCCTATTTTCGTGGATACCTATTTTCGTGGTTACCTATTTTCGTGGATACCTATTTTCGTGGTTACCTATTTTCGTGGATACCTATTTTCGTGGTTTCCTATTTTCGTGGTTACCTATTTTCGTGGATACCTATTTTCGTGGATACCTATTTTCGTGATTACCTATTTTCGTGGATACCTATTTTCGTGGTTTCCTATTTTCGTGGTTTTCGTGGTTTCCTATTTTCGTGGATACCTATTTTCGTGGTTTCCTATTTTCGTGGATACCTATTTTCGTGGTTACCTATTTTCGTGGTTTCCTATTTTCGTGGTTTCCTATTTTCGTGGTTTCCTATTTTCGTGGATACCTATTTTCGTGGATACCTATTTTCGTGGTTTCCTATTTTCGTGGATACCTATTTTCGTGGTTTCCTATTTTCGTGGTTACCTATTTTCGTGGTTACCTATTTTCGTGGTCT